CCAGCCTGGGTGACAGAGGGAGACTCCCTCTCAAAACAAAACAAAACAAAACAAAAGAATCAGATAGTATGTAACATTTTTGAGATTGCCTTCCGCCTACCCACCCACCCACCCAAAGCATAATTCCTTAGAGATTCATTCATCTCAGCTGTTGTGCATTTCAAGTTTATTCCTTCTTTTCTTCAGATGGATTCTGGCTCTGCCACCAGGCTGGAGTGCAGTGGTGTGATCTCGGCTCACTGCAACCTCGGCCTCCTGAGTTCAAGTGATTCTACTGCTTCAGCCTCCTAACTGGGACTACAGGCATGTGCCACCACATCCAGCTAATTTTTGTATTTTTAGTAGAGACAAGGTTTCACCTTGTTGGCCAGGGTGGTCTCCATCTCTTGACCTCGTGATCTGCCCAACCCAGGCTGCGAAAGTGCTGGGATTGCAGGCGTGAGCCATGGCGCCTGGCCTAGTTTATTCCTTTGTATTTATTTTTTTGAGACTGGGTCTTGCTCTGTGGCCCTGGCGGGAGTGCAGTGATCACGACTCACTGTAGCCTTGATCTCTTGGCCTCAAGTGATTCTCCTCAGCCTTCGGAGTAGCTAGGACTCTAGGCATGTGCCACCATGCCTGACTCATTGTTTTCTAGAGATGTAGTCTCTCTATGTTGGCAAGGCTGGTCTCAAACTCCTGGGCTCAGGCGATCCTCCTACCTTGGCCTCCCAAAGTGCTGGGATTACAGGTATGAGCCACTGCACCCAGTCTGTTGATTACTCCTGATGGAGACCCAAAGTGCCATAATTCAGACCCATATTCTTAGAACAGCTTAATATATTCAACTTAAAATAAAACAATATAGCTAAAATAAAACACCTACAAAATGTCCAACAAGTGTGGGCAGTCAGGTTTCCTTATGTAGTTGGTAGAAGTGGCATGCTTAGTATAAACATGATGTGAAATGCTGTTTATTTCCTGAATTGTGTTAAAACCACAGCTACCAGCTAAAATAAAGCTGTTGCCCTGGGTTTCTGTCTTAGAATTATTTTCTGCACTATACATCTCACTGCTGGGTTTATGGAAATCATCTTTTTTTGAGGCCCAGATTTGAAGGCAGTAGGTCATTTTCATTCTCTCTCCTCTCTCTCTTTTTTTTTTTTGATGGAGTCTAGCTCCATTGCCTTGGCTGGAGTACGGTAGCAGAATCTTGGCTGACTGCAACCTCCATCTCCTGTGTTCAAGTGATTCTCCTGCCTCAGCCTCCTGAGGAGCTGGGATTAAGGCGGGTGGGACCACACCCAGCTGTAATTTTTAAATTTTTAGTAGAGATGGGGTTTCACCATGTTGGTCAGGCTGGTCTCGAACTCCTGACCTCGTGATCTGCCCACCTTGGCCTCCAAAGTGGTGCTGGGATTACAGGCATGAGCCACTGGGCCTGGCTTTTTTTTTTTAGACGGAGTTTCACTGTTGCCCAGGCTGACCAACATGGAGAAATCCATCTCTACTAAAAATAAAAAATTAGGCAGGTGTGGTAGCACATGGCTGTAATCCCAGCTTCTCAGGAGGCTGAGGCAGGAGAATCGCTTGAATCCAGGAGGCAGAGGTTGCGGTGAGCTGAGATTGTGCCAGTGCACTCCAGCCTGGGCAATAGAGCGAGACTCTGCCTTACAAAAAAAGGAAAGAAAGAAAGAAAAGAAGGAAGGAAGGAGAAAGAAAGAGAAAGAGAAAGAGAGGCAAGGAAGGAAGGGAGGGAGGGAGAGGAGGGAGGGAAGAAAGAAAAAATAAATATCCTGTATGTGGTGGAGGGGCCACCGTGTGATGCCAAGCATTCACTAGTAACTGAGATTTACAATATCTTTGCCATTTAAACTGAGGTGAGGGAGACAGATGATAGAGGGGCTACCTAAGAAATGTGGCCCTGGTGTGTCTCATGCCTATACTCCCAACACCAGGGGGCTGAGGCAGGAGGCTCACTTGAGTCCAGGAGTTTGAGACCAGCCTGGGCAACACGGCCTGTGATAATAAAAAAAAGTTACCACACCCAGCTAACTTTTTTATTTGTAAAGGGGCTGGGCGCAGTGGTTCACACCTGTAATTCCAGCACTTTGGGAGGCTGAGGTAGGTGGATCATGAGGTCAGGAGTTCAAGACCAGCCTGACCATGATGAAACCCTATCTTTACTAAAAATACAAAAATTAGCTGGTTGTGGTGGTGCATGCCTGTAATCCTAGCTACTCAGGAGGCTGAGGCAGCAGAATCACTTGAACCTGGGAGGTGGAGGTTGCAGTGAGACAAGATTGCACCACTGCGCTCCAGCCTGGTTGACAATGAGACTCCTTCTCAAA